GTCAACATTAACCAGTGCACATCATCAGCAATTTCATACAACAACATACATTTTTTCTTTCATAATCATGTTTAGTTTTTTGCTAAAAAAAAAGCATATGCGGGAAGCTTTGCTTTTCTGTTTCAATTTGAAGAAATCGGCTGCCGCATCGAATGCTTGTGGAGGCCTATGGCGACAATGCTTTATCGGAAACAACGTGCAGAGATTGATTTCGCCGGTTCAATGACGACAATTTTGACCTGAATGACAAGAAGCGTGAAAATCGGCCCAGGAAGGTTGAGGACTGTCAATTGGCTCTTTTGGACGAGGACGATACCCAATCGCAAAAAATGCTTGCCGAACAATTGGGTGTTTCTCAAGCAGCCATTTCCATGCGGCTACATGCCATGAGGAAGATTCAAAAGATCGGAAAATGGGCCGCATGAACTGAATGATAAAGCGACGCCAAAATACATGCCAAATTTTGCTTGCCAAACAAAAAAGAAAGTCGTTCCTGCATCGGATTGTGACAAGCGATGAAAAGTGGATCTATTTTCAGAATCCTAAAGCAAGAAATCTTGGATTGATCCCGCCCAACCATCAACATCTTCCTCAAGATCAAATCGCTTCGGACGGAAAACAATGCTGTGCGTTTGGTGGGATCAGAAGGGTGTCATTTACTACGAGCTGTTAAAACCTGGTGAAACTGTTAATGCTCACCGCTACCACCAACAACTGATCAAATTGCATCGTGCTCTGCGTGATAAAAGGCCGCATTATCGGAAAAGACATGACAAGCTGATTTTCCTCCACGACAATGCATCATCGCACACGTCAACAATGATCCAAAATTACTTGGAGACACTCAACTGGGAAGTGTTACCCCATCCCGCTTACTTACCAGACCTGGCATCTTCTGACTATCACCTGTTTTCGTCGATGGGCCACGCGCTCGCTGAGCGGCACTTCAATTCTTACGAAGATGTCCGAAAATGGCTTGATGAGTGATTTGCCTCGAAAGATGAGGAATTTTTTTGGTATACACAAATTGCCCGAAAGAATGTAATGGGAAAAATGTATATAATAGTTAGCGAAGGCAAGTACTTTGAATAAATTTGTTTTTGCTTCCTAGGAAAAAAAATGTGTTTTTCTGACTAAAAAACAGCGGATTTAAGCTTATACAAGCCTATAACAATGCGCGGGGTCGGGACCGTAACTCGCGATGCAACTATTGCGGAAATTTTTGAAAATGTCAGCTACTATTGTAACAAGACATCCGTTTTCAAATATAGATCACTGTACTCACAAAGCGTTCGGGTGGAGAATTGCTACCACGTTCGTGGCGTGAGCGTAATTGCTTTCGGTATCGCCTGTCAACGAATTGAAAAATAATTCGTGCGGTGGTAAGCATGTGTCCTGCAATTTTTCGACGCAGTCAATGTACTCGTACAGAAAAACATCTTTTTGTGTGAGAAGATCGAAATCCTCTACGCTGAGCTTGCAAAATTCGGAACGTATAATTTTTAATTTATCTTTGTCAAGATACGCCAATTTGTCGCTTGCATTTGAAAGAATCAATAAAACGTAATTTTACACAATTTTTCTGAAAATTCTTTTCATTTTTGTATTTGGTGCTATCGATATTTACCAGGTGTACAAGTATGAAATGATGATTTGAGAAACAGATGGCGCACTAATGCAGTGTGAAGTACAAAGATTTAACATTATACGCCATTTTTGTACCATCAACAAGTATCAAACGCGCAAAGTGATTTGATTGAAAAGTGTTTATATAGTATTGTGTTGCTGTGTTTAATATGACGAAATTTGTGCCAAATAAATAGCATTCGCGGACAGCATTAATTTTTTGTTTTCATTTGAAGAAAACTGTTGCGGAATCATACCGATTACTTGGAGAAGCTTATGATGAACATGCTCCATCGCAAAAAACGTGTGAACGATGATTTCAGCGTTTCAAAATTGGAAATTTCGATGGAGATTTCAAGGAATACGGAAAACCGCCCAAAAAGTACGAAGACGTGGAATTGCAAGCATTGCTGGATGAAGATGATTCACAAACACAAAAACAACTCGCAGATCAATTGAACGTTAGTCAATAAGCTGTTTCCAATTGTCTACGAGAATTGGGAAAGATTCAGAAAGTCGGCAGATGGGTGCCACATGAATTGAACGAGAAACAGATGGAGAGGCGTAAAAACACATGTGAAATTTTGCTCGAACGATACAGAAGAAAGTCATTTTTGTATCGTATCGTTACTGAGGATGAAAAGTGAATTTTTTTTGAGAATCCCAAGCCCAAAAAATCATAGGTAGATTCATCCACATCGACTGCAAGACCGAATCGCTTTGGCAGAAAGACGATGCTCTGCGTTTGATGGGACCAGAAGGGTGTGGTCTATTATGAGCTATTGAAGCTATAAGCTAGCGAAATGGTTAATACCAAACGCTATTAACAATTGATCGATTTGAACCGTTCGCTGTTTAAAAAACGATCAGAATACCAAAAGAGGCAACACAAGGTCATTTTTTTCCATGACAATGCTCCATCACATACGGCAAAACCAGTTCGGGACACATTGGAAGCACTCGGCTGGGAAGTTCTACCCTATGCAGCTTACTCACCAGACTTGGATCCTTCCGATTATCAATATTAACCAATACACATCATCGGCAATTTCATATAACAACATACATTTTTTCTTTCGTAATCATGTCTAGTTTTTTGCTAAAAAAAAAGCATATGTGGGAAGCTTTGCTTTTCTGTTTCAATTTGAAGAAATCGGCTGCCGAATCGCATCGAATGCTTGTGGAGGCCTATGGCGACAATGCTTTATCGGAAACAACGTACAGAGATTGGTTTCACCGGTTCAATGCCGATAATTTTGACCTGAATGACAAGAAGCCCAGGAAAGTTGGAGGACTGTGAATTGCAGGCTCTTTTGGATGAGGACGACCCAATCGCAAAAAATGCTTGCCGAGTAATTGGGTGTTTCTCAAGCAGCCATTTCCATGCGGCTACATGCCATAGGGAAGATTCAAAAGATTGGAAAATGGGCCACATGAACTGAATGATAGGCGACGCAGATGGAGCGACGCTAAAATACATGCCAAATTCTGCTTGCCAGACAAAAAAGAAAGTCATTCCTGCATCGGATTGTGACAAGATGAAAAGTGGATCTATTTTCAGAATCCTAAATGCAAGAAATCTTGGGTTGATCCCGCTCAACCATCAACATCTTCCTCAAGACCAAATCGCTTCGGACGGAAGACGATATTGTGCGTTTGATGAGATCAGGAGGGTGTCATCTATTACGAGCTGTTAAAACCTGGTGAAACTGTTAATGCTCACCGCTACCACCAACAAATGATCAAATTACACCGTGCTCTGCGTGAAAAAAGGCCACATTATCGGAAAAGACATGACAAGCTGATTTTCCTCCATGACAACGCACCATCGCATATGTCAACAATGATCCAAAACTACTTGGAGACATTCAACTGGGAAGTGCTATCACATCCCGCTTACTCACCAGACTTGGCATCTTCTGACTATCACCTGTTTTCGATCGATCACGCGCTCGCTGAGTGGCACTTCGATTCTTACGAAGACGTCCGAAAATGACTTGATGAGTAGTTTGTCTCGAAAGATGAGGAATTTTTTTGGCGTGGTATACACAAATTGCCCGAAAGAATGTAATGGGAAAAATGTATAGTTAGCGAGGGCAAGTACTTTGAATAAATTTGTTTTTGCTTCCTAGGAAAAAAAATGTGTTTTTCTGACTAAAAACAGCGGATTTAAGCTTATACACCTGGTATATTAATGAATAACAAGGTATTCGGCAAAACTATGGAAAACAGTGCTATGGAAAGCACATCGATATAAAATTAATAACAAAATGGGACGAACGATACGGTGCGGAGGCAATGATCGCAAAACCAAATTTCCACAACCGCAGCGCAGAATTTGATCGCCGTCGAAATGCGCAAATTCTTAGTAAAGTTCGACAAGCTGATTTACGTGGGTATGTGCTCGACATATCAAAAGTCTGCTTGAATTTTACCACGAGTACATATAACCGATGTATCGCGACAAATGCAAGATCATGTACATGAACATGTCGACACGGATAGTTTCATTTATCATATAGAATACGATGATGCTTATAAGACTATGAAACGCGATTAGATTCGATATGAGTGATTATCCAGCGGACAATGCCGGTATGCCTCTCGCGAATAAAAAAGTACTCGATGAAATATTTGATGAAGAACGAGAACAACGGTGTATTAATCGAAGTATACACGATATCCGAATTGAAAATCGCTCTGAGTCCATGCGACGACAAACGATACGTTGTACCGGGTTCGACGGAGACATTACTATAAAGACATTAGCGGATACCTTTGTAATATATACATACGTATTATATGTATATATTATATGTATATATATTATATGTATATATTATATATATTATATGTAGTATTCTTTGTAGTATATTGCTATTGTATATTACTATTGTAATTTATACTTATTTAACATTTATTGTATGTTACTATTGTTATATTTTCATATGTTATATATCGTATGATTTTATATTTATACATAGTATTAGAATTAGTATTTTAATTTACTGTGTATTTTTTATATGTAGAAAAAAGTACACGAATTAAAATTGTATCAAATGACATTGTTTTTATGTATCCATAAATTGGGCGATCCATTGAATCCCATTTGATCTTGTCTCTTTTTCTACTTTCTCCACGAGATACATGTCCGGCTGAGCAGCGCGATGCAACTCGTGCTCGTAGAACGCCCCAGCGATGGATTTTCCGCGATAGTCCTCGAGTATATTAGGTTACGAGTACACTTTACCGATCGTAAACACCTCGATGATCCAATTTGACGTGTAACACTTCTTAAAAACCGTCTTGTATTTGCTCACGTGTACCGAACGAATCGCCCACTTTGAATTTTGCCAATGATTTTTATCACGTTGTACACCATGTTCAAGAATCTTTTGGCGATCGCGGGAGTTACGTTGGCGGGTCGCATGCCGATAGTACACAATGCGATGCTTGCGCGCATTGTAATCTGACACGAGACGCAGCAGCTCGTTGAACTAATTGCCGTTAAGTGTAAACATCTTCCATGTGTCGTTTTTGAGTGTGCGATTGAACCACTCGATCACTGATGCTTTCAACATCAAATACATGGAATAGTAATTAACGTCGTGTTTTTCAAGATTTTTTGCACATTGATGTTATAAAACTCCTTCCCCATATTCGTTTGTAAATTTGTCGAACATCTTCCACTCGCTCGAATTATCTTAGTGATAGTGTCAGTCATCTCGCTTCCATCCTTGTTCTTATGGCCCACGCATACTTGCTCAATATATCGATGAATATGTAGTGATGGCCTCTGTTGAAGTTCGAGAACGGGCGCATCTCGATAATATCAAGCTGCCACAGATCGTCGTATCCCCGGACTATGACGCGCCTTCGCGGAAAATTTCTTCTCGCCGAAGTGTGCAATTCCTCAACAAGTCGGCATCTCTCGACGCTAACTTTTCTTTTTTTCATGATTCAACGCGTAATATGGTATACACAGCGTGCAAGAAAAAAATATATTGTTTCTCGTTGACGCCACTCGACTGACCCGTTTCGTCGGTTTAATTTATAATAAGACTAGCTTCGAAGTTTTTCGATAATAGCATCTCGTTTTGTCAACGTTGTTGCTCACTCGGTGCGAATCGTAGATAATCCATCAACTCGTTGGGAACGTCCTAGTGCATGTAATCGCGTTCAGTGTCATTGGATAAGTAATCCCTTTCCAGATTTCTTCTTCTGTTTCTTGAGTGTGATGAACGGCGCAATTTGTACTTGTATCCCCTGTTGCTCAATAATCCGCCCTGCGAATGATGCTTGTGTGTGTTTATCGCCAGCAGCATGCTCTTGTACTTGTTCACATCGTCTTCCGTGTAGAGGAGATCGTCAGGAATTCTCTTGAAAATTAATTCGTAAAAATCGGGTGTACCGGCGTATCGTACGCCGTCGATAATTATGTTGTCCGCGTCATCCACGTCGAAATTGCCAAACATCAATTCATCCTTGTGTAAATAAACACATTTATTCGTAAACACATAACCTATACTGTTGTTTTGTTCATCTCGCGCTCCTCTCAGAACTTTTGACGTATTTTTAATAAAGCTTTGAGCTATCGATACTTTGACTGTTGTAGCGATTTCGAGTAGACATACACGTTTTTGAAACGTACGCTGTTCGGCTCTCGAGCAAGCTTATGAGAACATTGATTTTACCGCAATTCGAAGGACCACAAACTATATATATATATTATATATATATATATATACATATATACTCACGTATATACCGCGGCAGCATTTCGGCGTGCTTATGCTTTTTTGTGCTGCCTTCCATCATTCGCAATTTCGCGTCACAGTTTGTGACGCGTATCGTCAGAGATTGCCGCACAAATTTCATGCTCGCACTAAAGGCTCTCGAACAATTATTTGATCCTTTGATACACGAATTATTCGTTGCAGTCAAATTTTCATAAGGGTTTTAACTGAGTCGCTGATCACGAATCTGGAGTCAATTTAGCAAAATTCAATATGGCAGATAAGAATCTCATAAGAATCATTGGCTTCACTGTCTCTTTCATCTAATCCACAATCAGTAGGAATATCTACAAACTCGTTTTCCTCTGTATCCGATTGATCGGATTGACTACTATTTTCGTCAGTCATTGTTACTTTTTCAATTGTATATGACAAAAAGAAGTACTTTATATTTTAGTAGAGGTTACTAGATAGACTATTGCGTAATATGATGTTACCATGTTTTCACTGAATTATATCTTGAAATTATTCATAAATTTTCAGTTAAGATTTTCAGATTTAAAAACCCGTGTAATTTCAACGATTATCTAAAAGGAAAGAATTCAGATTGGGGACATGTGATTTGTGAAGAATATTTTATTGAAAGAGACAATTATCATCTAATTTACTGAATTTCAACAAAGCATTTGAGAATAACGGAAAATAAAACTTTTAGTATCAAAATGTAAAAATTTAGCTACTCTGGACTCATGTAAGAGTATTTATATTGTATATTAGTTTCAAATTTTTTATCATTTTGAATAAAAATTTGGAATGAAGTTGAAAACTAAATCTATCAATATAAAATAAAAAATGTCAAATAAAACTAATAACTTGAGCGTGCATATTCTTATGCACTAATTTTCATGTAGCCTAAAAAATATTCCATGAACCGTAATAAATCTTCAATACAGTATTTAATTATCGTTCAAAAAAATCTTCTGTACAATTTTTAGAGTGAATAAATCATTCTCAGAATTAATGGTCCACCATACATCAAATATGCTAACTTCGAAAATATAATTTCACGCTTAGTCAATGATTTAAAGTCGACCTAAATATGAATTTTGACGATAAATAAAGCACTTTGATATTTTGGTGCACTATATTGGATCTGCTAACCCATTCGGCATGTTATATTTCAGCAACGTTGCTGAAATGTTTCAAATGCATTTTTCAAATGTTACATCATTTCAGTAATGTTGCTGAAATGGAAGAACATTGCTGCAACGTTTCAAGTGAAATATTGCAATTGAAATATTACTGAAATATTTCTGTACCATAACCGAAGCTTGCAACATTTCAGTAATGTTATATGTCGAGTGGATAATTTATTCTGGGAATTTCATTTCAAAATTGTAATCATTGATCCCAATACATCAATTTTCAAGGTAAATAAAACATTTAAAAAATTTTTAGAGTGAATCCGCCATGTTGGATTCATCATCTTGAATTTTGAAAATTTGATTTCAAATTCATAATCAGCGATCCAAAAAACCCTTGTATATCAATTTTCAAGGCAAATAAAGCATTTTTTAAATTTTCACCATTATTGGATACTCCATATTGAATTTTTTTGCTAAACTGACTCCAGATTTGTAATCAGCGACCTTAAAAAAAAAAATATATATATATA